CATTTACAACTATTAGGAATAGAAACAAGACATGTTGGGTGGAGAGAGTGTTGAAGCCAATGGTAATGAGATATGGAAGGCCTGAGAATACAAGTGAGGCAATCTAGAATGGAGATCCAATGAAGTAGCTAAGACTAGATCCTATCCAGTCAGAACTAGGAACTTTGGACCTTGGTGACCATGCTCCTGGAATGCACAGAAGAGGCTGTTCTCAAGGCAGTATTTTAGAAGATAAGTGATGTCAGAATTAGCACCTACCCCATCATCCCTGAAACTGGAACTACACATCACATAATCCCATAGGTTCAGATTCCAGCCAGAAAACACATCAAACTGTAGAGCCAGTCCACTATAAGAGATGTATGCCTGGGAAGCACCTTTCTCCACCTTTGGGAGAGGTCCTTTTTGTTCTTCAAAATGCTTCTTTCCTAATAAACTTTTCTTTTCTCTCACCTTTATCTTATATCTTCATCTTTCCTCTCAATGGTGTTCTCTAACAAAGGTTTGACCTATACCGGGTTTATAATTTCTGAGGCAAGGGAGGGGAGAAGATGAAATGGAACAGAGGGTATTTCAAGTACTGACTACCCACAACAATGACCATGCCTTCCCAAATTAGAAGTCACATTTATGTTGTTCTAGTTGTTAGATGACTCATAGTGATCCTATGCACTACAGAATAAAACCTTGCCTGTCCTGTATCACTCTCACAATTTTTGCTGTGGTTAAGCCCAGTGTTGCTTGGATATTAAGTTTAAGCCCACTTAACCTATGTAGGCTTGTAAACTTAGAAAAGGCAGATGCTGTAGACACGATTTTCTAGTAAAAAGAGTACTGGTCTACAAATCAGGAATTCAGGTGTTTTGCTTTGTGTTTTATTCAAGTCACTACAGTATCATCTCTGGCCTCAGCTGCTTTCCTCTCAAAAATAATGTGACTAAAACTCCAGGATCTGAATAGCGGTTTATAACTTATCTGTTATTTTTATTGTTATCCAGTGCAGCCATCTGTGAGGTACACAGATCCTAACTTTGTAAAAATGTTGTGTGCCACTGTGCCAGTACTGACCCAAACCTGACTCTCCGGCGGGTTTTCAGAGATAGTGAATCCCACTGGAAGTTGCCCATTCATCTCCCATCAAGCAGTTGATGGATTCGAACAGTGTATATTTGCATTCATAGCACAATTCCTTACCACTAACTCATGAGAGTTCTTTAACATAGTCAAGATCCTACCTAATAAATTACTAACGGCAAGAGAAATACGGGGTCCTAAACTTGGGCAGAAGAATAATTCATGCCTCTGAACTGTGTGGAATTGAAAAAGAATACTGAGTGTCCTATCAACAGCCAAAAGAACAAACATACGTCTTGGAAAGAAAGCATCCAGAGCGCTTCTTGGAGGCAAAGATGACAAAGCTTTGTTAGGAGGGGCTATTCGTTTCAGAGTGACATCATGCTTGGAAATGTGCCCGTTCGGCGAAAGAAAGACCCGCAACCACACGGATTAACACAATGATTGCAGTAGTGGGCTCGAGTATGTCAGAGATGATGAGAATAGCTCAAGACAGAGCTGGGTTCAGATTCATAGAGTCGCTATGAGTCATCCTCGACTCGATGGCACCAAACGACAACAAACTCGGGCCGAGATCTAAAAATCCACCTGATTTTAAAATTCTTTAACTGGGTAAATTAATAATAACTGAGAAAACAGATACACCAAAAGCAGGGACAACCTAAATGAATGAAAACAATCAAAGGAAAGAGGGGGAAAGTCCGTGTTCAAGAATCAGAAGTAAGTTCTTCCTGTTCTGGAACACTTCCGGCATCAACAAGAGGAAAGGCCAATCAGAACGTCTTCTGGGGAACCAATAGGAGAGCACATTACAAAGAGCCAATCCCGGCGATGCTGTCACTGTTATGGTCCTGTCAGGGCGCCGCCGTCGTGGTGGCTGACGGGCGCCACAGGGAGGACTTTGGTGGCTCGCTTCCTAGGACAGCGCGGCGGCCAGCTGCGCTCCTTTCCGGCCTCGCCCCCAGCCCACCGTACCTGCCTCGCAGGCCACGCCGCAGGACGACAGTCCTGTTGTGAGCCGCGGCTGCCTTGGGGCCTGGGCTCAGCCGCAGCCTCCTCCATCGCGGCTGGAAAAGAGGGGTCGCGAGATGCAGCCTCCGGGCCCTCCGCCGGCATACTCCCCCACTAACGGGGACTTCACCTTTGTCTCCTCAGCTGACGCGGAAGGTGAGATGAGGAGGCCATCTGGACCCGGGGCTGGGGAAGGGTCTTCCTCCTGCCGAGGCGGAGTGGCAGGTAGGAGAGGCTGGGAGCTTTCCGGGGAGTCCAGCCCTCGGCGCCCGCTGGGCCTTCGGACGGGTCCGGGAGGCCGAGCGAGGGGTGAGGGGAGCCTTCCTGGAGCATCGGGTAACACAGGCAGATCTGACTTCTTCCCCGAACTAGTGGCAAGCTTGCCAGGGTAGGATACTCCCTTCAAGGAGATCCTCGGGCCATAAGGTGCTATCTCTAGGATTGCTTAACACTTCCTCTGATTAGATAACCCAGCCTAGTTGTCCGAGGAGGAAAACAGGGAGTGCTAGAGCTCTCTTTTATTTACCAGTTAAATAAATTCGGTGGCGATGTGCTAGAGCCAGCTCCTTTGTAAAATGCAAACTTTTCTTAGGTTCGTGTATTACATTTTCTTGAGTTCGTGTGTTACACTGATTGATATTTTAACCTGGGTCCCCATTTTCTTCTTTTAATAATGCTTCACCTTATTACACAGGTGTGTTTGAAACTTTTTACTCCAACTAGGGGCCCCAGTCCCTTCTGCAGATTGTCTTATGTTGTGTAACCCATTGAGCAAGCAGCACTGTGGCAGAGGTTTTTCTACAGCACAGGGATATTTGTTTTCTTTTTTCTCGCAGTTTCTTACTCTCTTTCCGTATTGGACTCTTTCCTTGCTTGTCCTATTCAAACTTTATTTTCATTACAGTGTACACCAGTTATCCCTGAGTAAGTTCTCTGCCTGACAGGAAAAAGTGAATTCTACTTAGCTGTTGAGTAGCATCCACTTCCTAAATAACATGCCTCCGGAAACTATGAACTTTGATAAATGTCGATAGTTGTAGAGGGGCTTCGCTATGAGTTGTGCTCAATTCAAAGGCAATCAGCAACAACAATATTGAAGTAGAACCTAAGTTCTTGTGAAATATAGCAATTCAAATAGAATGTAATAGAATGTTGAGTATCATAATTTTGATACCTGTTCAAATATATCTGTGTTTGTTTTTCATATACATCCTTCCCTCAAAAATTGCTTTCCATAAATACACCTTAAAAAAGTGACAGATTACTATAACCGATTGACTCCAAAAACTAAACCAAGAAACTCTGAATTAATAAAATCCTTAAAAATTTTTTCATACTTCTCCGTATATCCTACGTATTATATATATTGCCGTCATGTGTATTGTTGTTGTTTACTATCGTGTTGGAACTGACCCATGGCTGACCCTCCAGTGGCTTTTCAGAGACAGTTAATCAGAGGAGACTGGCCATCCTTCTCCCTGAAGAGCTGGTGGATTCGAGCCTCTTGCCTTAGAGATTGCAGTGCATTTTCTTACCACTAGGCCACCAGAGCTCATGTGTATTACACTATACATTTTAAATTTACATAGTATTTTAAGCGTGTACCCTCTTTGATGTAAGAATACTAATGAGCTTCATAATTCCTGAATTTTAAAAGCAAAAGAGGCTTGAACAAGTAGACTAATTTAAAAAACTGGAAGTAAAGCTAGTCTTCTGTTCCTCAGAAGTTCTTTCCACTAAACCACGATACGTCTTTCCTATATTTTTGTAAGATGAGTTGTTTATCTGAAGTTTGATGTTAGGAGTCCTAGATTTGTATTATGTTATTGCATTGCTGGTTACTTTCTGTCATCTTTGGCAAGTTATTTATCCTTAATCTCACTTTACAAGAGAGGAATAAACTCAGCATTTATCTGACAGACATGCTCAATATATGTTAGCAGTGCTGCTGCTGCTGCTATTACTGGTGCCAGGGTTTCAGTATTAACTGACTCTATACCATTTTTCCCCTTGAGCATTTGCATTATAAAAAGCATTTGACTCTGCAACACCATTTTTCTCTGGTCTCTAAACATGTCATGTAAATTCCTGCCTCTTTCCTTTTTATTCTATTTTAATAACCGTGAATGTTTTCAAGATTTCTGTCCAAACTTTTCTTCTTTGTGTACACATAGCCTTACTTGGAGCAACAACCAGCACTCTTGGTACCAGCAGTCAGGAAATTAAAATAAATAAATAAAACCTCATTGCATTGGGAATTATCTGTCAGGAACCTCTCCAAAGTGCTCCAAGTGTCATTTTAAAGACTATGAAGTGCCTGATCCAAACTGTGATCTTTTCAGTTACTTGCTATGTCTCTCAACTTGGGACAGTGAATAATTGGAGTGAATGAATGGAGAATATATATATATTGGAGAATATGCCTTTAAGTTGTAGTGTAGCAGAATACTGAATGTCCCATAGATTGCCAAATTAACAAACAAATATGTCTTGAAGTAAGTGCACCCGGGATGACCCTTAGAAGCATGGATAGTGGAACTTCCCCTCACATATTTTGGGCATGTTGTTAGAAGGGGCAAGTCCTTGGAAAAGAATGGCATGCTTAGAAGATAAATTGAAACATTGACTATATCAGAGAAATGAGGATAGTACAGGATAGGGCAAAATTCTGATCCATTCTTCATAGGGTTTTTAAGAAAATTCACATCTTTTATTAACTCAGATTTACTTGTCTTCTGGATTGTTGAAGCAATAGGTCGGACAACACTTGCCATAGTAGTATCTGTCAAAGTGGCTGGCCATAAAAACTCCAGCACCACATTCATCTGAAGGGCACTCCTGACGAAGGTGACTAATTTTGCCATTCTGATCCACATTACAGTATTTTAGAATAGCCAGCTTAATCTTTTTTTCCTCTTGTGCTTGTTCTTCTTGGGATTGGTGTAAAACATCTTCCATTTTTTAGTGCCACCATGAAGTCTTAATACAAGGTGAAGAGTGGACTCCTTTTGGATTTTGTAATCAGACAAGGTTTGCCATCTTGTAGTTGCTTTCCAGCAAAGATCAGTCTTTGCTGATCAGGAGGAATTCCTTCCTTCTCCTGGATATTGGCCTTTACATTTTTTTATTGTGTCCAAGGGCTCAACTTTGAGGATGATGGTCTTGTCTCTGAGGGTTTTTATGAAAATTTGCATGTTGATGGTGGTTCCACTGCAGATGATGATCAGAAAGCCATAGGGTTGTTTTGAGTTGTAGTTGACTCAACAGCACCTAACAACAATATCCTTTTTCCTAAAATGTGCCTTGGTGTTTTTATCTCCGTATGAATTTTTCCTCCTTTTCATTTTAAGAATACCTTTGTCATCCTTGCCACAAACGGTTATTAAAACTCACTTCAAATGCTCTTTACTGATTGGAAGATTGTTAATCAGTTCCCTCAGAAAAGAAACATCTCTAATAATTTCTGTATCCAAGCACCTACCACAGAATGTAGGATATACACGTGAAAAGATTTTTAAAAAATGAATAAACGAATTCTGCTTTTATCTAAAATAGCACTGCTAGCCAAAACTACAAAATTCCACTGAGGAACCCTAGTGGCACAGTGGTTAAACAAAATGTCAGCAGTTTGAACACAGCATCTTCATAGAAGAAAAGACCTGGTAAAAAGTATAGGGGAATGGATATAGCTGCTTCTGATCTCTAGTAATTGCACAGTGGGGAGCCCCATCATCATCATCTCCAGTACAAAACTTATTTCCTGTAAGGTTAGACTTGACCCACGTGTTCCTATGTGGTCTACTTTCAAAATCCAGTAGCTGCCTCACAGAATCATATGGTTGTGGAGTTTATTAGAGAAGTTAACAGAATACAGTTCAGATTGGCAGCAGGATACAATTCCTCAGTCAGGACAGCTTCTCAAGTATGTTCACAATCCTTTCAAACTGAAGCCTTATGGCTTTGGGCCAGTGTTAGAAAGTTCTTTTAATCTTTTTATTTATGGCATCTTCCCCCCTGCCCATCCCACCAGTTCTTCAGCAGGCTTACATGAAGGTTCTTGTCTCTGGATCTGTGAAAAAACAGCCCCAAGTCAGCTCTGTCTCACATTGGTCTCTGGTTCTCCATTGCAGTTAGTGTTCCCAATCTGACAAGTGCAGGAATCTCTCACTCCAAAAGGATGAGGACTGTGTTCTCTGCTGCTGCTTCCTTCCTAGTGGAGAGATTTGTATTTATAATTTGTCCTGCTAAGATTAGTAGACTATGAAGTCTCAGGTCAGCGTAGTCCTCCCAAATATTTAAACAGCTGTATAAGTCCACAATTTCTAAAATGAACAGCTCTATCTGTGGCTCAGTTTCCTAGTTGCTCTATAGCCCTTGGATTTGGTGATTTGCTAGAAGGTCTCCCAGAGTTTCAGACCCATCAGAGGAATGATTCACATGACTGTTAGCATGCAGGCTGTTTTTTGAGAAATTGGTGAACATCCTGTAGACTGTCAGTTGTAATACAGTTGGATGGCGACTGTGGATGATGCAGGCTGGTAGTGCAGCCTGGTGAGCAGTGGACCAATATCATGTAGGCTGTCAGTTGTGGTGTAGTTGGATGGCAACTGAGTGATGCAGGCTGGATGCTGTGTCCTAGGAGAACATTCCACAAGAGAAAGCAACTAGCCCTGAGGTCCCATGAACGCATATAAGCTTCTAGTACCATGGGGCTTGAATCCCATCCTAGTCCTCTCTCCTTAATACAGTAATTATATTAGTACAAAATAAGGTTACAGATTGGCTAGAAAAGACATCTGAATGATAGACCTTAGATACATATTCTGAGATTTCTATCTTTCCTGTATACCTGATCAATTTAAACCTTTGGGATGGCAAAACTGACCAATCTCTTCCAATTAATTTCTGTACCCCCTGTTTGGTGTTCCCACCTAGCCGTGTGGTCATAGTCAAAGCTGATGGCTAAGACATTTCTGCCACTTTGAACAATAAACTCACAACAGCATACCTGTAAATAAAGCACAACCTAGGAAACCTTATGAGGTTGTTGTGTTTTATAGGATTGCTGCGAGTCAGAATTGGCACACAACACCACCACAGATATATAACTAAAAGAAATGATTGGATTTAGAACCAGAAGGCTTTAGTTAAGAGTC